CTATATTGGTTATAGTGCTCAACTATGTTTTTATTTTATGCAAAATTTTCTAATGCTTATTTTAGACAATATTTACTCAATTCACCAAATTTTTAAAAATACATAAATGTTAATACTAAATTTTTTTTAATTCAGCCAAAATTTAAAAAATGTAACAAACAAATGTAATTTTCAAATGTAAAAAAAGCAACAACAACTTATTTTTAAGAAAAAAAAGGCTGTCAGAATCGGGTTATCGTTCAATTCAGATCATTAAGTTGTGAAATATCCAATGAATTGGCCTGCCTGCCTGACATATCGGTACCGTGTTTAGCTAGTCGATAGTGTGTGTTTTTGTTGGCTATGTGGTATTCTGTCTTTGGCGTTCTTGCTTGCTTGCATACGTGAGAGAGATTTCCTCTGCGCGGTTGGGCTCTCGGGGTGTGTGTGTGTGCGCGACTGAACGGGGAGTATGATGAATAATGGAACAGATGTGGAGCGTGCTCGTTTTCTCTCCCTCTCTCGGCCTTGTGCTCACCCTTTATCGTCTCTTTCCCTTGCTGCTGCATCTCTCTCTCTCCCTCTATTCTTTCACTTTTACGTCCGTCATTTCTCCTTTTCTGTTCGCTGTTGCTTCCGTTTTCATTTGATTTTCCCTCTCTTATCTTGCTCTTCCTTTCATGTTTCTTCTCTTTTCCCTTCTGTCCTTCTCTGCCGGTTGATGTTATCACTTAAAAGTGGCTCTTTTGCGCGGGCTCTGGTCACGTGATGCAAAATAGAAAACAGAGTAAGGAAAGGATGCATATATTTTTGTCAATCTTTTCGTGCTTTGTCCGTCCGTCGTAAGGCCGCCAGCCTGCTGCCGTTCGTTCGTTCTGCCGCTGTCAGTCTGATTTACCTAACAAGACCTTAAGGAAGCTTCTGTCGGTTTGATCTGTGTGTGTTTTGCCCTTGATGAAATCATAAATCCCAGGATTTGTGTTCTTGCAATTTTGTGTTGTTTCTTTCCTGTTACATATTTGCAAGTAGAGGATGATTTTATAAAAGTACAAATTTGTGGATTAATATTCGTTTTGGTATGTGTTGTGAGATTTATTTCAGAATTTACGCTGAAAAGTTGTCTAATATCGAAAATGTTCGGGAAATTTTGCATTATTTTTTAATGTATTTTATCTTTAAACTCTCTTGCGCTGCAACATACGTGCGTAGACATATATTGTCTATCTCCCCAACCTTTGAATGGTCAATAAATATTTTGTTTAGTTTTCTTTAAGCTTATTTTTTCCCTTTATGCATTTTATCAAATGTTAACATTTTGCAGAATTATCTAGATTTTCCATTGCAATAAGTGCAGAATTTGCCCCAAAGAGTTAAAATACTTTCAGATTTTAGCTCAAGTGATTAACTGTTTTAATCTCTTTCTCTCTAGCTATTCCTGTTCTCTCTGACGGATTTTGTGGCGATTCCATAAGGAAGTTCTCCTCCGCTATTCCCTCACACCTTTCTGACAAACGGCGAATCAAGGACCACCGGAAGTCAGTGGATCCTCCTCGCCCTCTCCGGACCCCGACAGCACCTTCCCTTCTCGTTTGCGCCGGCACGGCGACCCTGAAAAGCCAAAGGGCAAGCGGCAGTGTAAGACCAAGCACCTCGGCCAACAGGAGCGCAGGATGCTGTTGCAGTCGGCCAATGAGGAGTGCCCTGAACTTAGCCCCGCCCACCAACACAAGGTAAGAGCTGCTGCACATGTCGATGTAATAACAGGTCGAGGTGCTTGTTTTATCCACACAAGAATGTCCTTTCTTTGTCTGTGTGTGCGAGGTTAACCATGCTCTTTGCTTTGGCTCGAAACCAAGCGTTCTCCCGGGCTCAGCGAGGAACCATTTAAAAACGTGTCTCCAATCACAACAATGTTAATCATTCCAATTAGGGAAGCACCGCGGGCTCTCTGGGACGGCACAACGGACACGGGAGGGGGTCATAGCGTGTGTGTTTAGAGTGCGGTTGCTTTGACCTCCTCTTGTGCTGAAAGGCAGACTCCCAGCGGAGAGACGCAACCGAGAAGGGAGGGGAGGAGTGAAGGCCGGGTCGGAATTCTGGTCTCTTTCTCTCTCCGTCAAGGAAAATGATTCCCCAGTGAACACGCTGTGCATTCTTTAAATAACACAGCCTGCGTTCTCCCTGTTGCGATCTCGCACGCAGATGTAGCGTACACACTTGTAGCCTGCGTTCTGCAGCCGAACACAAACATACACACACCTTGAGTTCATCGTTTACAGCAGACAAACACACTCGTATGAAAATATTATGTTGGTGTTTACACAATACAGTGTGTGCGGGTTTACATGAGAAGTGAGAGACATTTTCCAAATCATGACACTGGGGAGATCCTCAATTGGAAAAAAATTACTCCTATTTTTTTTTTTGCTTATATTTGCGATTAATCAATTTTGCAGTACTAAATAATAATAATTATAATATAATATTTATTAAGTAAATATGTATGATAATATTTATAATATATATTTTTCATTCTAAAAATATTTTTTCAGGGGTTGGATTAGGGGTTGAGTTAATATTGGTGTGTCTAATCTATGTGTTCTCATTCAGACGACCAAGTACATGTCAGTCGTCATATTTTGAGACGCTCATTTTCCCTGCGCTGTTACTGGGCTGGCAGATCTCTGTGTGTGTGCGTGCGGTGTGTGTGTGTTTACTCTGACAGCTGCTGCGCTCTGGAACTCCTCGGGGGTGGGTGGAGTTCCCGCCTGATCATCACCCCCCCCTTTTCCCGACCTTCAGTCTGCTCGCATGAACTTGCGGCCTACACACACACACGCACTCATCCGCTGCCCTACTGCGCTCCACAGATAGAGAACTCGCACGCGGAAGGTGGGAGAGATAAAGGGAGTGGGAGAGAGCCAAAGTCTTCCGTTGTTTCCTGTTTAACTTTCCCTGCCGGGGACACGATCGTTGACGGATCGGCGTCTGCAGCTTTCCAGCTCGCAAGAGAAAACAGAAATGTTCACAGTAGATGCACGTTGTTCTGTTAAAAATGTGTTTATGGGGAATTTGTAGTTGTGTAAATAGTCTCGGCACATTTAACTGCAGGCCAAAAATAACCTTGCTGACCATGTGGGGTGTGTGAGTGAGAAACCTTTGTTGACAGTCACACTTTTGTTCTTGGTTTATGGTGGGAAACACTGTTTCCTGCACTGTCACTGGGCTAAGTTTTCCACTACTGCTAAAAAAAATCATCCAACTATGTGGGAATAGTTACTTATGGAAGCTCGTTTCTGCCAGAGCATAAAAAATAAAGGTAATTGCTAACTTTTTTTGAAAGTTAAAATTCTGACTTTTTTTTCTTGCAATTGCGAATTTACATCTCACTTTTCCTCAGAATTTCGAGTTATGAACACAGAATTGTGAGATATAAAGTTTTTTCCCTCAGAATTGGACTTTATAGCTCGCAAATGCGAGTTTATGTCTCAGTTGCGAGAAAAGTCAGAATTTCGAATTTTGAGAAAAGATGTAAGACTTGCGAGAAAAAAAATGTCAGAATTGCGAGTTATAAAGACAGAATGTTCCCTCAGAATTTGACGTTATAGCTCACAATTGCAAGTTTATATCTCAGTTGCGAGAAAAGTTAGAATTTCGAATTTTGAGAAAAGATGTAAGACTTGCTAGAAAAATGTCAGAATTGCGAGTTATAAAGACAGAATATTGAGATAAAGTCTTTTTCCTCAGAATTGGACTTTATAGCTCGCAATTGCGAGTTTATCAGTTGCGAAAAAAGTCAGAATTTAAAATTTTGAGAAAAGATGTAAGACTTGCGTAAAAATGTCAGAATTGTGAGTTATAAAGACAGAATTGTGAGAAGTCTTTTCCCTCAGAACTGGACTTTATAGCTCGCAATTGCGAGTTTATATCTCAGTTGCGAGAAAAGTCAGAATTTCGAATTTTGAGAAAAGATGTAAGACTTGCTAGAAAAATGTCAGAATTGCGAGTTATAAAGACAGAATATTGAGATAAAGTCTTTTTCTTCAGAATTGGACTTTATAGCTCACAATTGCGAGTTTATCAGTTGCGAAAAAAGTCAGAATTTCACATTTTGAGAAAAGATGTAAGACTTGCGTAAAAATACAAAAAAATACAAAGTCTTTTCCCTCAGATCTGGACTTTATAGCTCGCAATTGCGAGTAAAGTCAGAATTTCGAATTTTGAGTAAAGATGTAAGACTTGCGAGAAAAATGTCAGAATTCCGAGTTATGAAGAAAGAATTGCGAGAGAAAAAAAGTCAGAATTGCGAATTTATATCTTACAATTGTGAGGAAAAAATGATCTTTTAATTTTTTTTATTCCATGGTGGAAACAAACTTCCATAGTAACTTCACATTTGTCAATTTTCACAGCAAAATTTTTCAACGATTTTCCAATTTTAATCTCTCGCCGATTCTGCCGCAGTGCCGACTATGAACTTGTCGCTGTGATTAATTAGCGCTCCATCTCGCCTGTCTCTTGGCACCAAGTGATTGTAGCTCTGTCACTCCTTTGTCCTCTCTCTCTTTGTACAGAGCGTCCGCCTTAACGTGTTTGTGGCGCCACATACTGTGACTTTCAACGCCTGTGTGTGAAATCCGAGGCCTTGCGATGGTGTTGCGATCTGTCATAAATGTTAAAGTGATGCATTTTTATTCCCTCCCTCCAGGTGGTGAAGCATTCCGCTCAGAAGCGGCCAGCATCTCTTTCCGATTACGAAACTTCCCCGGTCAAACCATGCCCCCCTTCTCCTGCCTACCAGCCCGCGGCACCCCCAACCCCTCCATGCGCCGTTCCGGATGCACCAGTACCTCCGGTCGCCCCCACACCTCCAGTGTCAGCGGAGCCACCAGTCAGCAGGCCCATGCCGCCCGAAGCACGCAGACTCATCGTCAACAAGAACGCAGGCGAGACTCTACTACAGCGAGCAGCGCGGCTGGGATATGAGGTAAGCGTGTATTTGCGCGTGTGCGACTCTCTCTCTTTCGCTCTCTCTCTCTGCCCTCTCCCGCTCTCTTCGCATCTCATTATTTCTGCGTGAGACTGAGTCTGACATGCGAGAGCCCCTGACAGGCACAGAGCGATCGCTTGGTGTGCGCACACACACTTTTTTCCCCCTTCTTGCGACGCTGCCTCTCGCTTCCACACACACACACACACACATACGCGCTGTCTCATCCCGTTCTCCTTTCGGCTTTTGCACTCCCACTCAAACCTTTCTCGCTCACATTCATTCCCGTGCTTTCACAGGCGCGCTTGTCCTTGCTCTTCCCTCTGTCGAACTGGAGAACCTTAACCCTTTGCATGCCATCTCTGATCTTGTAGTCAGCCTTTTTGAGTTTAATAAATGTTGGTAGTGTTTGATATTTTTGTAACACTGCAGCATTTTTAAAGACAACATGAAACCGCATTTGATTTTTTTTTTTTATAAGAAATAGTTGAACATTCTTTGGGTTTTAATTTGATTAATAATACATTTTTGATTGAAGATTACAAAAACAAACATTCTCTTTAAAATACCTTACACTGATCAATTATGGGTAATGAGACTAGCGACTTGTAATTTTATTAAAATTCAGCTTTCTTGCCTTTAAATATAATAAAGTTTTATATCTCCGCAACAGTATTATTTTAATGCAACCGGACATGCATTAGTCTCGTCCGTTAGTAGATTCCCTGCTGTTCTGGAATTCAGTTGTATTCCACAGTTCTGGAATACGGTGGTTCCGCGGGTTCTGGAATGGCGCGGCGTTCCGTGTCCAATTTGTGCAGATTAATGGGGAGCTGGATTAGTTCCGGCAGTGCGTCTGAAAGGACTGGCACGGAGAACAGGAAATGAGCGATTACTGCTGCGAGCGCATGATTTCTCTCCTTCCCCAGCCCCCCCCCCCTCCTCTCTCGCTCCGCAGCGGTGCCTTGAATTCCACTGAAAGGGAAAGTTTCTTATTGCATTTTACGGAGCATTTTTATCACCGAGACAGTGGTGCTGTTCCAGAATAGAACACGCTTGTGTGGTGTCGGAATCATCAAGCTAGTTTTACGCTTGGTCTTTTTCCTGTTTTTCCCATTTGCCGCTTTCATCTTTTCTCTCGTTCTGCCTATAACACGCATCCACATGTGTCTGTGGTTTGTTTTCTCACAACTAGGGATGCCACGTTCCGTTGTGTTCCATTCCTTCCATTTTTTGTTTTGTGTGCTTGAAGTGGCCGCACACTGACACACACATCCTCACACGCACACATACGTTTGCAGTTCCCATCCCCCTACATCTCTTGTTTGCATTTCTTCACCTCCCTTTAGCTCTCACGCCAAGAGTTTTACTGCAACACACACACTCTTTCATTACACTCCGCCAGTGCTGACGTCTCGCTTGTGTTACGATGCTGCTTATTTACACTTGTGTTTGGTTGTTGCCTCCCTCTTTTATGACTCAGACAAAACTGGCCTTTGTGTGCTGATTGAAACCTATCGTTATGTGTGTGTGTGTGTATGTGTGAAAGAGCCCTATCAATCTCTCTCTCTCTCTGTCTGATTCTGCTGCGGTTGCTAGACTCTGTCGGTAATTCTGCTCTCAGGCAGAATGGCTCTTTGCCATTAAGGTCCAATCAGCGATCTGACAAGTGCTCTCCGTAATCTCCACGTTAATTAATCATTCGGCTGGAGGTGCTAAACACGCGCTGTTTTAAGCCATTAGCCGCCCGTTCCGCACACCTCCCAATCTCTCGTCGCCCAAACCAACGCCCGCCATTAGGCCCACGGAAAGAGAGGGAGGTTTTTCTGCTATTCTGACCACAAAAAAAGGTTGTTAATTCTCACAGAAAAGGAAGAATTGGCATTTTGTTGTTGATTTTACAGACAAATTTGAGATTTTTACACATGGTTTTCTTTACTAATAGATAAACTAATTGTGTTCTAATATCTATTGTTTACGAATAGCTAAACGTTGTTTTTATACAGCTAAATTATTTTTCAGTAAAGCTGTCTGTACAATTACACAACATCATGAAATTAAAATTGACAGTTTCTATATATATTTTTAAAATAATATTACAGTAGGCTATTTGTTAATGATTTGTTCGTGCACATCATTCTTTTTTTTAGTTCATTATTTAGTTAATGTGCACTCATAAGCTTTATTTAAAATAACTTGGCCTCTCCCTTTGCAAAAACATCTCTTCTCTGATGACGTACTTACTGGCACGAGGGCGGGGAAAACTGTCACTCACACGACAGCATAGCAAGTCCTTCCCTATAGCCTACATTTATTCTAGTCGGAAAAGCTAGCATTTCATTTGCGAATAGCTAAACTGTTCTTTGTTACTAGCTAAACTAACGTTGAACTAATATATAAACATTTTTTTTTTCACGAATAGCTACACTGTATACGAATAGCTCAACTATTTTAAAAACATTCATATTTATATTCTTTTTTTTACCAGCTGAATGTTCCCCCCAGATTGCAGAGCGCTAGTGTTCCGCTAGCGGTGGATTTTCTCGAACGCTTGTCGAGAGCGTGGGCTCTCGTTACCGCTGAGTCTGAGGGCTTTGTGATTTTCCCCGCTGGCGCTCGGGGTCTAATTCTGCTCTAATGGCTTTATAAATGCGCCTGGTGACATCGGTTAAAGGCGGCTGTTCTCGCGGGGCTGTGCGTGCGCCACAGATACGGTGGCCGATCCGTGCGGTGTGTGTGTCAGAGGAAGCGAGATAAAATGTAATCTTTCCCACCCCGTATTCCTCATACTCTCTCTCTCTCTCTCCTCTTACACCCTCCCCTACACCCTCCCGTCGGCCCATAGCATGTGGGGGACAGACCCACTTCCGTCCGCGTGTGTGTTTTTTTCTGTCAGTCGACAGCGGCTTGTTTTTCTAGTCCTCGTTCGTTCCGTTCCCCCTCCTGCTCTCCTGCCTCAGACAGGAAGCCGCTCTCTCTGTGTGTGTGTGTGTGTGTGTTTGTGTGTGAGAGATAAGCCGCGAGCAGAGCACTGAGCTGCCAGCGCGCTCTGTTTGTGTGTGTGTGTGTGTGTGTGTGTTAAGCCACGAGCAGCTCCGCGGCGCTGCCAGAGCTCGGAAATATGACATGACTGCTCGGCCGAACCTTTCAACACAGACCGCGGCAGCTGCTCGTTTGTGTGTGTGTGTGTGTCTCAGAGCGCGAGAGAACGAGAGTTCACACTTAAACGTGGCACTCCATCTTAGTCCCAGCGCAACAGCAGTAAACATGCAAAAGGCACGTAGTTTTGCGCGCGCTCTCGGTTCCATTTTCTCATGGGCACGCACCTTCAAAACAAACCATTCTTGGCTTGATGAAACTCCTGGGCGCCTTCAAGCGGTTCTCTGTACGTGTGTGATTGAGTCATTTTGGCTTGCATCAAGCAAGCGCGAGTGGAAAAACCTGCGTGTTTTCCACAGTTTGACTGCGTGAGCGGGTCCGCTGGCCAGGATGTGTCCGTTCAAGACCGCGTGCTAAGGGTCTTTTGATCTAGACGTTGACCGCAAAACAAAGCCTGTGACCTGAAATAACCCTGTGGAATGCATTCTCTGCAACTTAATCTGATCTAAATTCCCTCTCAGATTATTTTAAATTTGCATATTATAGAATTAAAAAAAACAGGGAATGTTTTCCTGATTGAGTAACGGTGGTATTTCATCACGTTTATTTAAAGGGACAGCTCACCTAAAAAAAAAAGAGTCCTTTCAACATTTATTTACTTATTTAAATTTGGAGAGAGAAAAAATCCTCATAGAATGAAAGTCAATTATGTTTTAGACACTTATTGACTGGATAAAAATAGAAATGTACTACGTGTGTTTAAACTATGTTCACGTGTGAGGAATGTTTGCAGTTGCAGCAGAAAGTGTGTGTTCATAGGGTCAGTGAGGCGTGTGTGTCGCACCCTGTTTTGTCACTGTCTGCTAAGCCTAAGCAAATGGCAGGATATAGACCTTCAACTCTCAGAGCGACAGCAGTTATATTTTGCAGTCTCGGCCACAGACGCCATCGGACCGCACAAAATCTGTCTGATGCATATTTCACACAAAACTGGAAAGCATTTTCCTGATTTGGCGAGTGCTAAACTGATTGGCTGACTTTATGCAACTTCCGAGACTAAAGGCACACAGGGATTTTTCAAATCAGTCAGCCTGCTGGGTTTATAGTAGCTATCACTTTTCTGGAAGAACTAGTCACTGGATTTGACGAATTGTCTTTAAGAGTTGTGTGCCCTGTTATTGTGGTAGAATCTATCTCAGGTAAACCCACCCTTAAACGGCATGTAAAAACAAACTGTGGTTTGCAATCTGCCGTTTAGTCAGAGGTCTGGCTGAGCAAGACGATATCGCATGTTCGCGCATGTACGCATTCACACTCGTCCCCACGTTCAGTGCCGTCCTGGCCGGCTGTCAGGGAAATTCCCGATCCGTTAATGATGTACTTCTTCTGCGGAGGCCACCTCAACCCTTTCCCCTCTGTTATCACAACTCCCATTCCAGCCATGATGGCTCTCTCATTTAAAACCACGCTGAGGGAGTTTCGACGCTCCATCTCCCCCCTCTGCATATCCTGCCCTTTCTTGTCGTCTTTTTTTGTCTGTCTCGCTCCCTAGCCGCTCACTTTCCAATGCAACGTGACGCCTGCTCAGTCTGAAGGCTGTTTTTTCCTGAGTTGCGTGTAAAATTAGAACATTCGTCAGCACTGTGCGTAGCCAGAGGATCATTAAGAAGCCGCTACACATTAGACTCTGAAAAACAATCCACGCAAAGCTGCCTCAATTCTATAACAGTTTATCAACTGTCTCAGAGTTTCAAACTCTTTATAAACGGTCTCCAACTTCTATCAGCCAGGATCATAATTTGACTAGAGCCTAGCAGTGACCCAGACTGGTTTCAGTTCAGGTCTGCCCTGTAAAGCTTCCCCTTCTCTTTCCTGTCTGAGCGTCTCTCTTTCTCCCAAAGCGAGCGGTAGTTCTTGCTCTTTTATTTTTTTATGATGTGGGTTGGGTTGACTTGGCTTTGAGGTTGTGGTGAAATGGTTGTACTTTGGGTTCAGTCCCGAGCTGTCCTGGCGTCTTGTTTTGTGGGATTGCCGTTGCGAAGGGGTTAAGTCTCTTGAGTGATGCATTGATTGCAGTTGTTAGCTGGGAGTCGTTTTTGCAGGGGACAACGGGGGAGGAAACGCCACAGCAAAGTGCAGTTCTCACGACAAATCTTTTTCTCGCTAGGCTGCGTGTAACACAGCTTTATTGTCTGTTTAATGTAACACTCAGCTCTCCTGCCTGCAAACACTGAGGAACTCCCTGAGGCGGGAGAGAGAGAGAAAGACTTCGCTGGAAAGGGAATGAGGCGATGGAAACATAAACGGAAATAGAGAAATTCTCTCCTGAACCGCGGCTCGCTTTCAGTAATTGAGCGTGGTTGGGGTGTGTGTGTGTTTTACCTTCCATGTGTTTTGGTCCACCTCTCCAGGCTGATGGAAGCGAACATCCGCGCTGGAGCGAGAGCTTCCCGTTTGGGCTCGTTAACGGCTCGGCGCCCCTGCTAACGGCTTGGGCTTTTTTTCAGTCATGCCGGCGGCATGCCGTATCCTGGATACGGAGCCGGCGGGAAGCGCGAGGCAGAGCTGCTGGCAGCAGCGTGGGGCAGGTCGTACCACTGTGCGACTCTGTCGAGGGAGGGGTTGAATGTGCTCTCTGAGAAGCTGCCAGAGTTGAAGTGCGAGCGCTACGCCTCCTGAATCCTAATGCCCTCATTCGTCTGAGCGCCGAGCGGACACCAGCCCTCCCCTCTCCAGCCCATCTGTGTGTGTGTGTGTGCTTGCTTGTTTTTGTTGCCACCATGCATGAGGCTCGCAGTGATGGATGAGGGAGTTCCTTTAAATCCGAGCTTGCGGAAGAACTCTCCAATTAATTCCACGAGGGCTCTCTGTAATTCTGCCCTCTTCCAGACAATGTTTTTAATCAGTGTATATGCCAATGGCGGGAAGCACAAATGGGACGATCATATTGATATCAGCTGCAATGCCAATATAAATTGCGGAAACCTCCGTAATGCTATGGTATTAGGCCTACTTCTTTTATAAACCAAACTTATGCAAAAACTGCATCCCAAATCATAGAATTCTAGGTTCTAGAAATTGTGCCAGCCCAGAACACCCTAGCAACCACATAGTAACATGCTAACGACTGCTCAGGAACTGCATGGCAACATTCTAACCAAAAATCAAAACACCTTAGCAACTGCATATCAACACCCTTAGCATGTTGTTGGGCTCTTTTGGCTTGGGTTGGTGTGCAGAGGTCTCCCCGGAGGGACCTCGGGAGTCCCAGACATTTTTAGGCACTAAAATATCTAGGAGGTGTGAAAATATGGAAAAAAGTGTTGCCAACACAAACATCCCGGCAGCCGGTTTTGCACGGGCAAGCACCGCTCACGTTTTCCCCCACCTTTCAAGTCGCTCCTACACTGCTGCTGCTTGTAGACACACACACATAGTGCCGTCTCAGGCGTCTCGTATAGAAAGTGAACAGCAGGCTTGGGGCAGGATTCGCCTGTAAAACCCCTGATACCTCACACATCAATAATCAGCTTTGGGCAAGAACTGTCTGTCTGCTCTCAGCCTGTCTCTCTCTCTGTCTCTACGCTCTTTAATGGTGTTTAATGAATTTCATTCCTCGCTGCACCATAGTAACCACTCGTCTTCTGTCTCTGTCTCTCTCTCGCTGTAGGAGGTGGTTTTGTACTGTCTGGAGAATAAAGTGTGTGACGTGAATCATCGGGATAATGCGGGTTACTGCGCGCTCCACGAGGCCTGTTCCCGTGGCTGGCTCTCCATCGTACAGCACTTACTGGAGCACGGGGCCGACATCAACTGCAGCGCACAGGACGGCACCAGGTAAACGCATGCGTGATGTCACCTACATAAATTAGGCGAAACAATGCTGGATTGGTTTCCATGACTTCCTGAGAATGTGTGTGCCGATGCAGCGCTGGTAATTACACATGCGCACATGTGCTGACGCGCGCACACTCAATGTCAGTAATTATATGTTTGGTAATAATGGCTTTACAACAACAGAAGAGGCCGAGAATCTTAGCTTGGATAATTACCGCAAGAAGAGCAGATTAGGCGTGTGAGATCCCTGTCTTCGCCATACACTTAAAAATCCAATTTCATTTAGCGTTCCGATTCCTGACGGAAAGATGAATGACAGTGACAGGTTTTAATGACTGTTTTATTGGGCAGTGCCAGCTGATAAAATTAAGGTAATTATGGACAAGTGAAGTAACTGAACTATTTAAGGAAAAAAAAAAAAAAATCTCACTTAAGAAAGTGAAACTGAAAAATGAAGTTTTGGTAAATACATTTTTGGAATTTAAAGCCATCAGCAGGTGGATTATGTTTAAAAGACAATGAATTTTTAATAATAAACAATTTGCCAGTGAACATTATATATATTATTATATATTCTACTTTTCTACTTGTCATGATCCCATCAAATTCTGATGGATAAATTAGATGAATTGCATTATAAATGTATTGTTGTGGTTATTTGTTTGTGAAGTAAATTATCTGATCTGTCTTCTAACAGGCCTCTCCATGATGCTGTGGAAAACGATCATCTAGATGTGGTCCGACTGTTGCTGTCATATGGCGCCGATCCGACATTAGCCACCTACTCGGGCCGTGGTTTGCTAAAGATGACCCACAGCGACATAATGGAGTGTTTTTTGTCTGGTAAGAGAGCGTTGTTCCTCTCTTCCACCTCTATTCCCAGAATTTCCCTCCTGTAGGAGCGGAGGGTTCAGCTCCGCTTGGCTATCTGGTTACTAAGCAACAGCTGGAGCGGAGGAGAAGCCTTTAGCTCCTGCAAATCAGCTTTCCCTGAAAGGAGATTATGTGTATGTGTGTGTTTGTCCGTGCGCGCGTCTTTATTCGGTCTTGTGTGCCGTGTCTTTTGAAGGGTGTGTGGGGCTTGTCTCGCGCAACAATATTTGGAACCATAATCTGGTCCTAATCTGGATCCATACAGCCATCTAAGATTAAAATGGAGTATCATTTTTATGGATTTAGAACAAAAAAAGCTTTTGACATCATTTTGACCCCTTGATTTTAACCGGCTTGACGTGTTGTTTTCCCCACTGGTGGTTGCTTGAAGTTTAAGAGCTTTGTAAATCCAATCAAAGTACATTCTTCGTTTCAAGAAAACACCCGGAAGCTTGATGGGAGACTTTATTTGTGTATCTGCGACTTTTGGGGGAAAGTGCGGTGTGATTTAAAGAAATTCAAGTTTTAGAAAGCTTGATCTTGCATGAATTATATTTAAAGCTACAATGTGTCATTTCTGCACTACTAGCAGATCCAGACAGAATTGAAACTTGTCGTCATAGCAAACACTCCACCATTGGTCGGACAAATCCCTTCCCTAACTTGCCATTGGTTGGAACATTGCTCTGATGTCAAGCCACTCGAACAATCAAAGAAATTGCATTGTTTGGTTTCATATTAAATGCTTCGAATTTAATGCTATAGGCTAAACATGTTACTTTCGCTTTTAAAGTTGAGAATAATTGTTCTTTTAAAGAGTTGTTTATACCATCAGATTTTATTGTTAATGGAGCGTTGACCTTGTCATTGCGCCTTTCGTTGCCCGTTGTGTAGGGAGGTAAAGTTTTAATGCTCAAGGTTAGACGTTCACATGGAAAGAGACAAGCTGTGCTCCGGGTGCATGTGAAGATGGCATCGCAGGAGACGTGGCATTTAGCGAGACGGCCTTTCCTGTGTTTGTGTTAACACTGACCCCTCTCGCCTGAGCACAGCTGCACTGTGACGGTCTCTCTCTCTCTTTCAGTGACACTGGTCAGGGTTTTTGAGGCATGGCTTGATTAATGGTCTGAAAGTTTCAAGCTGAACTAGAGGGCATTGCGAAGCAATTTGTACACAGCCGCCATTTGTTCTTGACTGCAGTCGCAAGTTCACCTCCAAAGCCGTCTTAATATGTACGTGTGTGTGTGTGTGTGTGTGTGTGTGGATTAGCTTCAGGGCTGCCAGTTAAAGGGCAGCTCAGTCACATGGCGGAGGTTCACACTGACTGGCTGCGTGTGTGTTTGATTATGCATGAGTTCGTGAGGCAGGAAAGAACTCGGCCTGGAAGCGCAGAGCAGAATATTGTGTGTGTGTGTGTGTGTAAATCAGCAGGCTTGTCCCGTTCTGCTGTCTGCGGCACTGATTTAAAGACCCTCCCCAAATTTGTTTTCCCTCTGTGGGAGCCTTCTAATCAACCGCCCTCTCTCGCTCTTTCTCTGGGTGGAATTGTTAATGGCTGCACTGGCAAACGCGGCTCCCGTCACCGCTGGCTGTGCTTCGCCGTGCCAAGTGGAATCTGACATTCTGCAAACGTTGTGTGGTTGCACGCTCAAAGTCTCTGCATTCTATAGGAGGAAATTGTCATAGTTGCTTGCTCAATGTGATCTGTTTAGCATTTGCATGGTATCAGTAACTGTATCAGTATCAGTATTCATATTGTATCTGCCGAATAGTAGTACTTTTGTCTACTGCCTATTTGTTTCGTTGTTTGGTAAATGTAGTTTATTTAATGATATTTGATTTAGGTTTATTTATTTAAACATCCACTTTTTTAATCTTAGCAATTCTTTTAAATGAACTGCATTTCGTGCTACTTCGTTTTACAATATTTAAATATTTATCATGTGTCAATTGTATTTTTCAATTAATTTAAATATATTTTAAATTAATAATATATAATATATATAATTTTTTTATTCGTTGGCTGTTTAGCATGAATTCTACATCTGAAGCTACTATATTGAGTTCTTTTTCGCTGCTTATGGGCTATATGCACGCATAAGTTCCGCATTTGACGCAAGGATGCTCGTCCATTTCCGGTTGTGTAGATTAAAGCGGAGGAGAACCGAGGAAAACGGGATTATGGCAGAGTCTTCAAAATTTACTGTCCTCCCGTCTTTGAAACGAAACATACATACGTTTAGATGTAATTTTATGTATAGTTATGTTTATTTAATATAATTTTAAAAAGAAGCATAAACACAACGAGGGGTGTCTGTTTTATCTGTTTTTGTGACTAACGTTTCTTTATTATAACCATGGACTATAAAATTCAATATAAATTCTCGGTATTGCATTGGACTCTACGATCGGCGGAAGTTATCGAGCATTCTTAATCCTTCACCGGAAATACCGCCGTGCATAGAGCCCATTGGTCTCAAAATAAAGTCAAAATGCTATTCTTTGGGGATTATTCATGTAAACACATCATGCATGTTATATTTTAGTGATCATAAAGAGTTGATAAAAAACGTACCACTATAATGGATCTGTGCATCAGGTCTTAAAGTGACAGCAGCTTAAATTACCTGCTTCCAAATTATCACATCATATAAAAATGATCTATATGGCAGTTTTTTCATCTATATGGCAGTTTTTTTCCAATGTTTTCGATATCAAAATTGTGGCCAGTGAAAATGCTGAGTGGCTAGGAGCTTTGGAAAACCAGTAGCCAAAATGGCTGCTGAGCAAAAAGGTTCATGTCAAGCCCTGGCGTCCGCTTATGCTAATATTAGCTTGAATTTTAGATTGCTAATATTATAAATCTATACTACTTGCGCATATCCAAAACCATAATGGTTTTTGTCTATTATGTGGTGGGGGAAAAAAAAATCAGCTGTCAGTATCTGCCAAGATTTCTGTATTAGCAGCTTCCTGTTTACATCACTAATGGTCTCGCTCTCTCTTTCTCACTCTAGATTACTTTGCCGACCTGCAGGGCAGAGTGGACGATGACCCTGGCGTGTACTGGGAGTTTTACGGCAGCGCAGTGTGCGGTGAGTACCACTTTCACACTCGAACACACACATTCGCACACTCCCACACTAAGAAACAATGGAAAAAAGAAAAGAATCATGCAGATAGACAGACAGACAGAGACTGGTAAACACCTGAAGGTAAATCTCTGTGTGAATCATCAATGTTTGTAGACGGTCATTGATCTAAAATTGAAAAAACAGCCGCCATGTGTGCTTCTCCCTCTCTGATGTTCGCTTGAAAGAATTTATATAAAAATCCCCATGCGCTGGGTGGTGGGGTCGGCACCATGGGGGCAAAAATAGATGGCGGCATTTTTTTATTGCTCTTTTTTTAAATGAATTCTAGCTGCGTAGCGAGAGTTCCCCTGGCTGCCATATATCAGCAGATCGCGCTGTGTGTGTGAGCGGGCCCATCTCCAGCTGGCCAAAAACAAACCCACTGCTACTGCACATTTTCCCTTGGATTCCTGGAATAACAAAGCCGGGAGAGAAGGGGGGGTGTGGAAGGGAGCTGCGCGGCTATTTTTGGGAGCTCTGCGCCGCCTCGGAAAAACCCAAAGCGTAACAGAAAGGGGTAGAGGCGCCTGTTTCGCTCCGAGCCGTACGCTGTGCCACTGGCGTGCACAAATGAGTGAAGTGGCTGCACATGCGGCTCTTCCCGCAGTGCCGCTTAATGGAAGAGAGAGCAAATAGGAGAACGCGTTCAGAGAGCGACGCATCAAAAGCATGTCCCGGCGTGAATCCGACAGGGAGAGGGAGGGCGGGAAGGGAATTTTAAAGGGATATCATGGGAGTGTAATCTATTCGTACCTCTCATTAACACTCGCAAGAGTTTGTGTCATTCCATAATTCACACCTTGTCTCTCTTACTTTACAGAGGCTGCTGATGACTCGTCTGGTTACGATATCTTGGCCAACCCACCTGGACCCGGCGAAGACGAGGACGAACAGAGAGAAGTTTTCGAATTCGAGTTCTCCGATCGACCGCTGTTGCCGTGCTATAACATCCAGGTGTCTCTCTCACAGGGGTAAGAGCCTTAAACCTCTGTCTTGACTGATATTTGTCTACAACTACTTTTATTTAGCACAAAAACAGTTCTTCTAATGTAATAGATAGTGGGAAAGTGTACATCATTGATCAGGTTAGAATACTGAGAATGGCCAAATATTGGAAATGTGGAATTCTGTTATAGGTTGGGAAACGCTGCATTAGATGATCATCGAATGTGCAAAGCCGTCCCTGACAGTAACATAGTATCGACCCAGATCCGGGCCACATCTGGTACATGTGGATTCAACGCTTACCAGATGTGAGCCTGAGCTGGGCCGACACTGTTGCTGCCTTGGGATTCTTGCAATTCATCAATAGAGATGTTTCGTCAAAATCTGATCGTGACTAGACGATTATTGGTTGCGTAATAGTTGAGTTGGCTTTGACCTGGATGACAGGTGTTTCACTTAAAAGCGCACCACTTCGGAGCACGGAGACTGACGTTAGTCTAGCGTTAGCGGAGACGTGAGGCCTGTCGCACTTAAACAGAGCGAGGACAGCAAAAGCACGCACGAGAGAGAGAGAGAGACAGTCTAGTGACACGCTGCTAAACAGACACAGCTAATTACCTCCCACACAGGCTCTCGCTCTGCCGTTACCGCGCTCCGCTCTCTCTCTCTCTCACCACCCCTCCCTTCCTCCCTCCCTCGCTCGCTTGCTGTCTCGCTCCCAGGCTCAGCTGCCGCGCTCACTGTTGTGTATAATCTTCAGTCTGCGCTTGTCTCTGGCCTCCCCCTCCCCCATTCTCATTCGCCCTCGTTCGCTCGCTCTTTCGCTCGGCGCGGCTGGCTGATGCAGTATTAATGGCTTTCTGCTCTCCTCACATTTCCTCCCCCCTCTCGCTTGCCCTCTCTCCCTCTCTCTCTTTTCCCTCTCCCACTCCATTCAGCGCTCCGCAAGAGCCACAGACCGCCTCAAGTGCCATCGATTGAGCGCTGCCTGTTACTGCTTTCCCCGCTGTGTATGTGTGTGCGCGTCTGACAGGCACGGCCTATGGTCTTTGTGTGTGTGTGTGTGTGTGTAGCCCATTGTGTTTCTAGGCGAGCGAAGGCCTTGAGAATCTTTGTGTAATTTTGTCTAATTATGTGAATGTGTGTCTGCGCAGAGGCGAGTGCTTGACAAGGTGTATGTGCACATACTTTTTTGTGTCTTCCGTTTGGTGTTTCTAACTTTGTGCATGTGCTCTGACACATTCAGCCTTGGCGCTCACGTGTACACTCTAAGTTCACGCCTACTTTGAACATTATGTAAAATATTATTTTCAGTATACTTTTGATGAAGTTTAAAAACTAAAATAATACCTGAAAATAAATGTGTAGCTTTTCATGCGTTTTAGCCGTTCGTTTACACGACAACGTTGTTTTGGGCGCCGAAAAACGCAAAAAACAACAACAAATGGAATCTCTGAAGATGATGATGTCATGCACAGGTGTATTGTTTGTTCAGTCAATAGTGTTTCATTGCCATTTAATGGCCTGACACAGCAGAAAACAGTGCTTTAGTCGTTTTCGTGGATCCGATCCGTTTTAAGCATATCGTTGTTGTGTAAACGTACCCTTAGTATGCATTGAATAAAAAAGCTAAAACATAAAACAAAATGATTCTTTCCATTCTCTGAAGTACCACTAACTAGACATCGTAATGCTACCGTGAAAACCTTGAAGTTCGCACATACTTTGCACATCATTTCATCTGTTTGCAATATCCTATAAATAAAAAAGGCTAAAACATACAATAAAAACGATTTTATTTCTTTTCACTGAAGTGGCGCCAAAATAGCCAACACAATGCTTGCATTAACCTTGACGCTGGATGTTCAGACTTAGCGCATCATTTAATCTCTTCTTTCTAGCATGCTTTCAATAAAAAAAGGTCCAAACATAAAAATAAAATCTGATTTTTTTTCCATTCTCTAAAGTGGCACAAACTTTCCGCCACAATGTTAGGGTGAAAACCTTGACAATGCGAGTTTGCGCCTACTTTGTGCATAATTTCAACATGCCAGCATGACTTTCGCGTAAACATACACGCCACTTTCAAGTCAAGTGTCGTGTTACCTATACGCATTTTGAGCTATCCGTGTGTATGGCTACACCGTTAAATGTCCGAGTGATTACGCGTGTATGTACATGCCGTTAAATGTCCGAGAGAAACGAAGCAAAATTTACATCTACGTCTGGGGAGCGAAATTTTTTTCCTAGGATGGTAGGGGAAGACTTATAAAGGGTATTAAACCCCAGTGACGGGTAGGTTTAGGGACGGGTTTGGGGTAGGTCATATATTTATACAGTAATGTAACGTTAAGTCAACAGCGTTCATAAACACGCTGAAAAGCAATTATGCGTGTTGATAGCACACCAAAAATGGAAGTACGAATTGGCGAATCGCCATTTCATGAGATCAGTCTGATCATTTCATCGAGTTTTAGTATGCTATAAATAAAAATAAAAATTTAAATAACCTATTTGTCCTTTCTCTGAAGTAGTGCTCTTGCTCTTTTTTCTAGCTAATTAATCTTTCTCTCATTCCTTTTCTCAGACCTAGAAACTGGTTGCTGCTCTCGGATGTCCTCAAGCGCCTAAAGATGTCTGCCAGAACTTTTCGCGCCACATTCACACACATCGAGGTAGTGACGATAGCCGAGGCGGAATTCTACAAGCAGGCGTCTCTGAGTCAGCTGTTCTCCTGTCCCGAGGAGCTCGAGGGATTCTTGCCAGACAGCAAGGAACTGTTGGATCTGGTGGAAATCAGTGCCGAACTGGTGGCGCTGCTGGGGTCATCGCTCGAATGCTTGGACAACCGCTGGGAGCCAGCATCCAGACTTCGCTCGTGAGCCTCTGCACATGCTCTCGACTCTCGGACAGACCCTTAGAGAGCCATGGAGGACTATATGCAGAGGGAAAGGATATTTCAATGCGGTTCTCGACATTTCAAGGAACTTCTGGACTGGTTGCCAAAGGCGAAATTCGATCCCTGTGCAGCTGATCTTTTTGTTTGGCTTCGAGAAGATTTTGGATCTTCTCGACATCTCTTACACCCTGCTCGCATACTAATTCTCCTGGTGACGATGCAAACCTGTACATAGTGTACATTCTGCAGAAATCGAAAGAGAACGGACCTGAGGTTTGGACTGCTATCTCTGGCTAACTATGAGATATGAAGCCATTCTCGCTACGAGGATCTCTTTCGTTTAAAAGAGATGTTTTCTAAATAGGAATATAAGTATATATACAGTCACTGTATTTTATTTGTGTGTATTATATATAGATATAAATATATATATATAAATATAAATAAATATATATATATATGCGCTGCCTTTTTTGTCTTGTTTAGTCAGGTCTTTATTTTATAATTGGAGTTATGATGTTGTAAATACCTAATCTGCTTGGATCGGGGGTTTTAATCGTGATGTCAACGTTAGAGGATCTACAGAGGCCGGAAGCGCCTTCGGTTCGTCAAGAGTTCATTAGCGCACTTCGTCACTTGACCGGAGTAGACGTTTTTATAGTGTTGACCAGTAACCAGTGTGGGATTTTTTTGGTCTCCCGTGTTAAACTCTAATCTACAAAGCTGTTTCGTACCCTGTACGCAAGCTGTTGCTTTGACTAAGTCACTTATTTATGAGTAGAAATTAAGATATTTTAATGTGGCTTTTCTTTGTAAAATATTAAAGTAAATGTAAAATACTAATCTGACGCTTTGTTAGGCAGAGACATGCTTGAACTTGTAAATAATGGGTTGACTATTTCAGTAACTTGTTTCTGAAGTGTTGTTGTTTTTTTGTTTGTTTTTTTTGGAGAAGTGATCGGACTTTGTAATTACATACGCTATCATTTGTATTTATATTTTACCAAAAAAAGTTCCTTTAAATAAATGGCAATAAAAGATTGTGTACATCTTGTGGTTTTCTTATATTTTTAGTTAATATGACAAAAATCGTCCATATTCACTTTCTGGTCTTGTTGTCCCTGATTTATTACTGCACATTATTTCAAAAATCATGTATAAAACTTTAGTTGATTTGTTTTTTTTTTTCTGAAAAATGTCACATTACAGAAGTAAAAAAGGGTTGGGAATGCCGTTTCATGTTGTCAGACTGAACTGAGCATGGGATTATAGGGCTCCTCCGATTAATTCATGCCCAAACAGATTATTAAACCTCCATGTTTATCACTATAATCAGGGATTAAGGCCTACATTCCATAGCAACGTTTCTGCCATCAGATAAGCCCCGTACAACTGGGAGAGAGACGGCCACATCCTGAGCTGCTGGACAAAACAGGAAATCAAGAGTTGCCGGAAATTAGAGGCCTCGGGCAGGAGTGAGGGAGGCTTTTATTGGTCTGATGGCAATACAGACATTATGTGCTTGGTTAACGTTCCTCAATTTTAATGCACTTGTCACACTTTCTTTTTTTTGTCTTAATAACCCCTGTAAACTTGAATCTCCTGTTTGTTTTAAAGGAATGGTTTTCCAAAAGGAGACGAGGCAAGCGAGGCTCAAACTAGTCAAATGACTTGTAACATAACATAATGTATATTCACAAGCATTTTTATAACGGCACAAAGTCTCTGCTCATTAGCCTACTAAACTGACCAATCCAAAATGGATATTCAAATGACTTTGAGTCCTAAATCCTGGCGATCATATAACTATGCCATAGACTGTACAAAAAATACGTCTATATGCGCATCTCTCGCAAGCACCTTTCTGAAACCTAAAACTACAATGCGTCTTCAGGAAGTCCACGAGACCATTAAAGGAGTAGTTCACTTTTAAAAACACTTTTGCTGATAATTTATTCACCCCCATGTCATCCAAGATGTCCATGTCTTTCTTTTTTCAGTCGAAAAGAAATTAAGGTTTTTGATGAAAACATTCCAGGATTTTCTCCATATAATGGACTTCAATGGGAACCAAATGGTTCAAGGTCCAAATGAGAGTTTCAGTGAAGCTTCAAAGGGCTTTAAACGACACCAGACGATGAATAAGGGTCTTATCTAGGACCCTTCGAGTCATGACTCGAAAAAAGTTTCGTTCATTTTGATGAACGAGTTTGAACAGGAGAGTCACGAACGCTCATCACAGAACAGAGCAGGGCGAGCATTTGTGCTTATAAAACTTAAACTTTTATTTATTTTTTAGATGACCGATCGTTTCGCTTGATACGACCCTTACTCATCGTCTGGTGTCATTTAAAGCCCTTTGAAGCTGCAATGAAACTCTCATTTGGACCTTGAACCGTTTGGTTCCCATTGAAGTCCATTATATGGAGAAAATCCTGGAACATTTTCATCAAAAAGCTTAATTTCTTTTTGACTGAAGAAAGAAAGACATGGACGTCTTGGATGACATGGGGGTGAGTAAATTATCAGCAAAAGTTTTTTTAAAAGTGAACTACTCCTTTAAGAGGCTGAAGACGGTTACATGAAATTGGCCTTTTCCTGCGTATAACCAAATCAAGCCAATCAGCTTTCAGTACGTCATCAAGTGTGCTTTTGGACACCAGGTGAAGAAAAAAGAAGAGTAGACAATATTGTTCGATGAAATCCAAAATAATGAAGCATCGTCTTCGCTGAGGTAACGTTAGGTGTTAGGAATGGGGCTACGTGTACGTTTATATCATGTTCATATAGGCTACATGTTGTGCCCAACTTTTTCAGTTGGTTTGAATTGGGTGTTGTGTTGGTGACCTGAGAGATTATCAAGATTATTCTAAAATGTCAGGGTTAATGTTACCATCCGTTATAATTATTGACAAACATAAAAAAAATCAATGTTGGGTTGCTTATTAGATCAATATACGTTCAGCCTCTATAGCCAAAATGTATAATGCTGTCATTTACTCCCTTGTGGCTCTCAAACCAAAATGCTGTTTCTTCTGTGGGCCACAAAATATGTTTCAAAGAATCTTGACAAATGTTTCAGTAATTTCCGTCATATTCACCAACTAATATGGTTATAAATCAACTTCAAAATCGTGACTATGGACTGTCATTATCATTGTATGGAAAATCTCGCTAGATAATTAAAAAAAATCTTCTGTTTTCCAAAAACAAGTGATGTTTTTCTTTTCTTGTTTGGGTGAATTATTGTTGTGAGGCAGAGGATGGTAATAGGATGGTCAGTCTATTTTCGAATGGGATTGTTCAACTGGTTAAATTTGAGAGGTGTTAATTACACACGAAGGACTTTATTTTTACTTTTCGCGTTTCTAAGTAGTCACGATCATTTTTTACACAATCTGATGAAGCGATTAATAACATGGTCAACATGTTTACACCGGACCTGTTTTTTATTGTTGTTGTTGTGGTTAAGAGCTAGGCTAAAACACTAAGCCAATGCAATGTGCAGTACTGGGGCAGTGACAAACAGTAATATTAACGTAGCCTATTAAAACAATGCAACCTAATATAGGATCATCATCACACAAAAAAATGGTTGGCGCTGGACTAAGACTCTTACATTTATATATATTATATATATATATATATATATATATATATATATGAAGAGTTCAGATGCAAAAGCCCCTAAATGCCATTTGAAATTTTCTTCTGTAATGATGATTTTTATCAAACTTGTATATTTAAGTTCAGTAATGTCACTTAAATGGCAATGATAATTACCTATTAATTGTTATTTAAGTGACATTACTGAACTTAAATATACAAGTTTGATAAAAATCATCATTAAAGAAGAAAATTTCAAATGGCACTTAGAGGCTTTTGCATCTGAACTCTTCATATATATATATATATATATATATAAACATTGTGTTTGTAAATAAACACGAAAATAGAAATGACTGAACATATCAGTGACTTATTGGCCATTTCTATAGCTCTCTGGGGTGCCAAATGTTGCGTGTAACATAATTGTAGGAGCTGTCCGCAGTCCTACAGTTGTTACAGTGTCACAGAGCCACATACGGCAGAGCGCTGCGGAAGCTGGACCGCAGGAAAGAAATGTGGCCATCTAATTAAAAAACAATTAAATTACATTAGGCTTGGTAATTACACCCTCCCCCTTCCCCGGGTTCCGTGTTACGACGGTTAATCCGCTCTTTATCTATTAGTCAGAGCTGTGACATTGACGGAACTCGGCTATCAGAGCGCGCGGAGAGAGACAGATGCGTCCTCCTCACACACACACCTCGTGAACACTGACGACGACTGACAAGAAACTTGTTTATTTCTTATTTTCTGATATAAATTATTTTATTCACAAATATTGTGTTTGAATTGTTATGAGTTTAACAGCAATTATGTTATACATTTAATTGGATTAGGTTTTTAATATATTTTATTTTATTTATTTAGTCTGAATTTGAATTGTGCGTTCTTGTGGTGACAACAAACCTCAGATAGTTAATATGAAATAGGATGTATTAAAAATATCGACTATTTTACTATATCGATAAACGAGATTCTTCAATATGTTAATCTGCTATGATACTAAGAAACTTGAAAGAGAAAACTAACCGTAGTTCACACTTTTGCCGGTTATAGTGCCTCTTGTGGAAGCGTAGTGTACTTGCTGTAACTAATTAGTCAACTTGCTTTTGACGTAACCATAACATGTAATCCAACGGGTTTTAATCAAAACACATGGGAAAAATTAATTTACAATTCAGACATCGATTATATACATTTTTTATTCCTTGTAAAATTGTACAGCAGTGGATTTCTAATGAAAATGAAGTAGGCTACATTTCACTTTTTTGTTTTCATTTTCCTAGTCTAGCTGAAGCTGTCGACATGCTTATTATATTCTCAATTGCAAGTATGTGCTCTGCAAATTTGTCACATTTTGAACACTTGTTTTTTTTGCGGAAAATCGCAAACTCAATTAAAATGTATTTAGGTGTCCAAAATCACCCATACTTGGTTACCCATTACATACTTGCTTCTTGGCCAGTCTAGTGCAGTGTAGACTCATGCATAGAAGATATGCCAAAAAGCAAGTAATGGGTAACTAAGTATGGGTGATTTTGGACACCTAAACAACATCCTTATTTTCCACAACAATATCTGAAGGCCACCCAACCCACAATTTCTACCCAATTAATAGAGCTTGGAAAAACTAGAAAGTTGTATCCATCATAAAAATAATAATTGACTTTTAGCTGTTTTATCCTATTTTAACGCTTTAAGTCATCTTGAGGCCCCGGCCCCCTGGTTAAGAACCACTGGTCTGATATATGGTCCAGACAAACTACATCCGTGTCGCTGTTCCCTGCCATTTATTTAGACTCAAGAGTCCACTGGAATGCACACTTCAGAATCTCA